TCTGTGACCAAAATCCATTCCCAAATCCCCAAACCCATCCCATGATTCCATGACTAAAATCCATTCCCAAATCCCCAAACCCATCCCATGATTCCCTGACCAAAATCCACTCCCAAATCCCCAAACTCATCCCATGATTCCATGACTAAAACCCACTCCCAAATCCCCAATCCCATCCCCTAATTCCCTGACCAAAATCCATTCCCAAATCCCAAAACCCATCCCATGATTTTATGACTAAAACCCATTCCCAAAGAGCACGTCTTTGAGGGACAACCCCAATTTGGGGACATCCCATCCAGCACCACTTACCCCGCGTGAGCTCCGCGTTGCCCTCCGGCCACCAGGAGCAGGTGACACCCATCCTATGGAGCCGGGAATGTCCTGGGGCTGCTCCAGGTACGAGGGCTCTGCAAGGACATGGAGACACCTCCCAGTGCTCCTGGTGGAGGTTGGGGACACTTGGAATGGCGCCACGTGCCCTGGCAGAGCTTGGGGACGCTCTGGGATGACACTGGATGGGGACACTGGATGGGGGGGACACGCCAGGGCTTTGGATCCGTGTCCTGGATCCCCACACCTCCCACAGCGTGGTCACCTCGCACGCAGCTCATCTCCATCCTGTCCAGCTCCTCCTGCAGCAGCTCCAGGTCGCATTCCCTGCGTGGGAAGAAGGAAAATCGGCTCCTGTGTCACCACCACGATGGTCCGTGAGCAGCTCTCCAGCCTCTCCACTCCCTTCTCCAAGCAGGAACAGGGCAGGGAGCTGGGATGAGTTGCCTCAAATCTGTAGAGAAGCCACCAAGATGTTCATCAAGGTGGACAATCGAGGTGTGTCCTGTCCCTTCCCGGGAACCTCTGCCAGGAGGCTCCAGAATGGGGCATCCAGGATGAGACACCAGGGATGGAACATCCAGGATGGGACATCCAGGATGAGACACCAGGGATGGAACATCCAGGATGGGACATCCAGGATGGGACATCCAGGATGAGACACCCAGGATGAGACACCCAGGATGGGACATCCAGGATGAGACACCCAAGCAGAAACAGGTGCCCAAAATCCATAGGAAAGCCACTCGGATGTGTCCTGTCCCTTCGAGGGGACTTCCAGGATGGGACTTCCAGGATGGGACTTCCAGGATGGGATACCAAGGATGGGACATCTGAGCAGAAACAGGGCAGGGAGTTGGGATGAGGTGCCCCAAATCCATAGGAAGGCCACTGGGATGTGTCCTGTCCCTTCCTGGGAACCTTTGCCAAGTGGTTCCATGATGGGACATCCAGAATGGAACACCAAGGATGGGATTTCTGAGCAGAAATAGGGTAGGGAGCTCAGGTGAGGTGCTCAAAATCCATGGGAAAACCACTTGGATGTGTCCTGTCCCTTCCCAGGAACCTCTTCCCAGGTGGCTCCAGGATGGGACTTCCAGGATGGGATACCAAGGATGGGACATCTGACCAGAAACAGGGCAGGGAGCTGGGATGAGGTGCCCCAAATCCATAGGAAGGCCACCGGGATGTGTCCTGTCCCTTCCTGGGAACCTTTGCCAGGTGGCTCCACGATGGGACATCCAGGATGGAACACCAAGGATGGGACATCCAGGATGGGATGCCCAGGATGGGATGCCCAGGACAGGTCCCACCAGCTCCCAAGGGTGCCCATGCCCACCCCCTCAACCCTCTCCTACCTCTCTGGGGTGGAGGTGAGACGGTGAGGGGGTTTTTCCTGGGAAACCACCGGCCGGATCCCTCTGGATGCCACCAGCCGCTGTCCTGCAGGACAACAGGAGGGTGGGAGAGGGCAGAGCACGCCCAGGGTGCTGTGTCCCCATCCAGGTGTCCCCACATCTGTCCCCACCTGCCACAGCAAGGACCAGGAGAGCGGAGAGCTCCGGGATTCCGAGGGTGCTGGAAGCCAGGAAAAGGAGGAGAAGGAGGAGGATCACCCAGAGCAGCGCCAGCACCAGGAGAAGAACCAGCAGCGCCGAGTAGGAGCCGGGTGGGATGAAGGTGGAGGTGGCACTTGGGCTCTGACCTGTGGGATGGGGTGGAAAAACCTGGAATTGGCACCCACCGGCTCCCATCCGCGCTCCAGCCCCTATTCCCGCTCACCATCCGGGTTGGGAACGGCCTTGAGGAGCTCCAGGTGGTTTTCCAGCCGGCTCCGTGCGTCCTCCAAGGCCTCCAGCGTCAGCTCCAGGCTCTGGTTGAGCCTCTGCAGCTTCTCCATCACCTCCTGAAGGACCAGGGCACTCTCTGTGGGTGGGAAAGATGGATACGGAGGTGGGATGAGCCCGGGAAAGTGAAAAAAGCCGGGAATGGGGTTTGCTGTGTTCCCACCTCGTCGGGGATAAACATCCCGAGGTCTTTCCTGCTCCTGAGGGAGGTGGGATGGGAAAACCTGGGGTCCTTCCCGGAGCTCTGTGGCCCCCTGGCTGCTCCCATTCCCTGTGGAGGAGGGATAAGAGGTTGGATCAACCCCAAGGTGAGACAGGGGGATTCTCAGCATCCTTGGATCAATCCCAAAGTGGGATGGGGGAATTCTCAGCATCCCTGGATCAATCTCAAAGCCAGGGGGATGTCTCAGCATCCTTAGATCAACCCCAAGGTGGGATATGGGGATGTCTCAGCATCCTTGGATCAACCCCAAAGTGGGTCAGGGGGATGTCTCAGCATGTCTGGATTAATCCCAAAGTGGGATATGGGGAATTCTCAGCATCCTTGGATCAACCCCAAGGTGGGATATGGGGATGTCTCAGCATCCTTGGATCAATCCCAAAGTGGGACAGGGGGATTCTCAACATCCTCGGATCAATCCCAAACCCAGGGGGATTCTCAGCATCCTTGGATCAACCCCAGGTGGCACAGGGGATGTCTCAGCATCCTTGGATCAACCCCAAGGTGGGATACGGGGATTCTCAACAACTTTGGATCAATCCCAAAGTGGGACAGGGGGATTCTCAACATCCTTGGATCAATCCCAAAGTGGCACAGGGGATGTCTCAGCATTCTTAGATCAACCCCAAGGTGGGATATGGGGATTCTCAACATCCTTGGATCAATCCCAAGGTGGGATATGGGGATTCTCAGCATCCTTGGATCAATTCCAAGGTGCGACACAGGGATTCTTGACATCCTTGGATCGATCCCAAGGTGGGATATGGGGAATTCTCAGCACCCTTGGATCAATCCCAAGGTGGGACAGGGGGATTCTCAGCACCCTTGGATCAATCCCAAGGTGGGGGATGTCTCAGCATTCCAGAGCCGGCTCGTACCCATCCGGTGGGCGACGTCCTCCAGGAGCTGGACCACGGGGGTCTCATTCAGTGCCAGCCTCATCCAGGTCTCCCACAGCTCGTCCTGTGGGAAATATTCGGGAGGTTGGTGATGGGGGGGTGACACAAATCCACCCCTCGTCCCCTATGGAGGTGCCCACAGACATCCCAAAACAAGCCCTCAGCCCTCCGGGGTGCTCCCAGTGCAGGGTGGGGGCCCAGAGAGGGGGGAATTTGGGGTGAAAGGGATGAAAAAGGAGTGTGAGAACCCCCCCAGAACTTGACCTTCATGTCCCAAAAACCACCCCCACACTGAGAAAGGCGGTGCCCTAAATTTGGGGGATCCCCATAGTCCCAGGGATGCCCAAGGGGGTGTTATAAGGAGAAGAGGGTGGGAAACACCCCCCAAAATCTATGGACAAATTTGGGGATCCCCCCACCCCAAATCTGGGGGACCAATCCCACTGAGGGGACCATCCCATAGTCCCAGGGGTGCCCATGAGGGTCTTGTGGGGAGAAGAGGGCGGGAAACACCCCCCAAGCCAACGGACAAACTGTGGGACCCTCCCCAAATTTGGGGGACCCCCCATAGTCCCAGGGGTGCCCATGGGGGTCCAATGGGAAGAAGAGGGTGGGAAACCCCCCG